ACAAAGGAGGCTTGAAAACACACTTTCTGAATACCCAGTAACATTTGTTGATGTTATTTATACTGCTAGTTGTATGGAAGCTAGGGCACATGAATACTTAAATTTCTAGGATGCAACTCTTTAAATCTCTACATGGGAACAAGTGAAAGGCTGATTTTTCTAAATTCTTTGCACTTCCACTCTCAAATTGTCCGCATACACAATGTGCTTCATAGCTTCTAGTGTTCCTCAAAAGTAGTTGTGACCTGGATTTAATTAGTAAACTCCCTGTACTCTGCTTATGTGACTGTTAGTTTGCTGTGCTCACTTGCTAAATGTGCTTTTCTCTTTTTTCTTTTTTCTTTTTTTTCCCTTCAGATTGAAACAATTGGGAAGAAGGTGTCAGCCAAAAGAATCCCTTTTGCTTCTTCTTGTGAAATTCCGAAGTTCAGCCTGCAGGACCCACCTGTCAAAAAGCCCAGAGTATAATGTTTAATAGGTACCGAAGGAATTCTGTCACCTTCTTAGTGATAATAACTGTAACCCTATGCTTTTTTTTTTTCTTTTTCTTTTTTTTTTTTTTAATGGAAAGATATTTTTCATAAACTACAGTCCGATTTTACGCTAGAAAACAGTACCTGGTACACATGAACTCAGCGTATTTTCAAATCTCTATTTTTCTAGCAATTTTGATTACTGAGGATGGTACAAACCTGTTTTTAATAATGAATCAACCTTTAAGAGGAAAAGTTACACTCAAGCTACAACCTTCTGCTTCCAGAAGTGTTCCTACACTGCACTTTAAGTGTAAATGCTCAAGTGATATGAGCACAAAAGAAATGGAACATCTATTTTACTTTAGTCCAGTTACAGACAGTGATCAGGAACTCAGTTGGTCTCACTTTTTTGTACTGTTATTTGGGGTAATTCTTTCCCCTTACATGCTTGTTTTAACTGGTGATGGAGTCAAAAGATGAGTTCTATGTGAATTTTGGTAGTTCTGGGTTGAGACCTAAAACAGAGCTGACTGCAACTATGTTGCCCTGATCCTCACTGTGATCAGCGTGTGCTGATGCAGTCTGAACTGCATCTGTTGGGTGCCAGGTGGCTTCTGCAGATGTCTATCACATACTTGTTGGCAGTGGAGTAGTAGCTATAAACCAATCCACTGGCTGATCTTGTTTCTGATTCTTGGTTCTTGCCTACATTCCATATGCCGCACATAAATTACTGATTTGATCAGATTCCTGGGGCATGATTTTCATAAATTACCACAATACAATTTTCCTTCAGCAGAAGAGCATTCTGCCTGCTGCTTGTTCAAACACAGAATTTGAGCAGACATACCTTAATTCAGTGTCAGTCCAAGTAGAAAGCAAACGTTAGCTTCAAAGCTAACGCTTTTTCTACTGTTCTTTCTGCTTATATTTTATGAATAAAAGCAGTATCTTTATGAACCTGCAAGAATTATTCTCTGCTGTTCAGAAAATTTAAAAAAGAAAAAAAATTCAGCCCCATACATAGTCAGCTTGCTACCTCATTTCATTAGCAGGAATTAATACTTCCTCTATTATCATGATACTTTTGCCTTTATTATTACTTTCTTTCTACTTGTTTTTATTATTCTCAATTGGCCAGTGCTATTAAAGTCCTTGATTATAGACTCTGTGTTTGGCTTGTTGCATGGGGTTGTGAAGTGGAGAAAGTTAGAAAGGGCTGACCAGAGAGAGGATTTGGACTAGAAGGCATGGAAGTCTTAGTTCAATGATAGAATCCTGTAAGCAGTCACAGACTACTTTCTGAATGCGTACAACAGCTGTGCCTTCAAGTATTCTATGTCAGTAGTTGTACTGAGAGCACAAGATCAATGTCTTGGTAATGAGGACTGTTGCTGTAACTATTTACTATGGAAGCACAGGTACCACGTAAGCCTGAGGATGGATCTTTGAAGCTTTGAGGGATGTGTAACAATTTGCAGAGGCAATACAAGGTAGTGTTAATTGTTTGGCTGTCCTATGTGTACTTTTGAGCTGGATGCTTTCAGATGCTGCACCTCAATGGTTTCTACAATCACTTTGGGCAAGTATGCCTGAAGTTGTTTTGTTTTTTTTTTTTTTGCTGTCACACACGGGATTCTTCTGTGAGGAACGTATTGGAAGCTTATCAAAATGAATGGGAATTATAGAGCCTTAAACTTATCTTCCATAGTGGTGTCTCCTCTTCCCAAGTCATTAGTGCTGCTTTCATACAACGCCTAGAGCAAAGGCTGCCCTGTGATACACCTGTGATACAGGTGTGGCAAATGTGAGTGCTCAAACTCCAGAATGCTGGATCGTCTGCTGTATACAGGCAGACATCTTTCTGGACTACCCCAGCAGAACCAGAGAGAGCAAGCTGGTAATGTCCCCTTTGGGATTGAGAGGGTGCTCACAAGTAGTACTCTTGCCCTGAACTATAATTAGGGTAGTACAGCACTGTTTCAGGGCTCATCTTGCATACATGCAGAAGAATCTTACCACAGGCCAAAATCACCGCTCATCTTCAGAGTACGGTTGCCAGGGAAATGGTGTTGGAGATGACTTGTATTCCTGTTTCTTGAAGGCTTGCGCTCACAAAAAAAGCATGAAAGAGCTGGGGTTGAGTGCTATCGGGTTTGTGTCTATGGGATCTTACAGAATGTAATTCTTGATGAGAACTGTGCAATATGAGTAATGGATTCCTGTGCTCTAATTTTTTAATGTTTCTTAATAAAATGCAATCCCACTGTAACACCATTTTTCACCGCAAAAGTGTGAATACAGCAGCTGAAGCAGTACAGTTTAATACAAGCCTATGAGTAGCATATGGGCTGCATAAATTGTCTCACTCAAGATGTACAGTAGTAAATCCAAGTGCCAGACATGATGTACTCTTTTTACCTCTTTGTATGCATGTGAAACTCTTAATTCAGACAAAACTGTTCCTGGAATGAGGACGGCCAAGAGCACTGCAACTGAATAGGGCAAACACATTTTTGTACAAAGAGCAGCATAAGAGCAGTTAGATCTCACGAGGGCTAGTAGGTTTATACCTCTCTTCATCCCTTGAGCCTTCGTTGGGGGTGACATAGAATTTACAGTATGCTATAATGCTCAACATCTGAAATTCAAAATGAAGTGTCAGACAGTGTGGGAAATAATGTGTTATCTATAATTGCTTTAGGCATAGGTCTTCATTGCCTGCTTTTTTTTTTTTTTCCCCCTCAATTCAAGCTGAGAATTGCTAGTGCAAGTTGAATGTCATCTTTAATAACTTTGCATGTAGTGAAAAAAGGGGACACCCCTATTCTCCTATTATTCACTGATCAGATGGAAAACAAGTCTATTCTTAAATGAATGCTTTTTCTTTTTTAACTTAATGCCTCTGTAAGTCACTGGATGGTGCAGCATATCTCCAGTTGGCTGTGTATGTTTAATTATGCTTTGTGTGGTGTTGGTTGGTATAATGATGCTTTAAAAAGATCGCTCTCTTAAAGAACACGTTGACTTGAGATCGTATTCCCAGAACTGTTTTCTTGAGTGCAAGGGAAACTGACAAAGCAGGCATACAGTACTATAAGAAGTGCAGACAGAATTAAGTGCTTTGCAAATATTCAATGTGAAATCTCTTCTGAAACAAGATTAGAGAAGTCATGAGATCAGTGCTGAATCTATAGCCATAACCTTGGAGTGTTTGGTGCCTTCAACATAAAGTGATAGGGGAAAAAATGGGAATAGGGATGAAAGATAGTTGGAAAAGTAGTTTTTTTTCAACTAGAAAAAGAACTTTAAAGCTTGTCATCTATGTTGTACAAATTGTCAGAGGTCCTCAAAGACCCTCAGAAATGAAACAAAAATACATCTATGCAGCCAAAATATGACTGCTTTCCTAGAAGCCATACAAAGCATGTGACTAGAAAATGGCTTACAGAGCTTGTGTAACTGGGGGCCTGCTGTCAGACAGTTGTGTAAAGCCTGAGATCATCTTCTGATCCACCCAGCAGCAGTCAGTAAAAAAAAAACTTACCATATGAAATAATGTTAGACTGTTTCACAGAAACATTTGTCTCAATAGGAAAAAAAAAAGTCATAGATGATCACTGCGCAGTGTCCTCTTGGCAGTTCTAAAATTGCTGTATGGCTCAGAATTTTTCTTCATTTTTCTGGTGTTGATTATACTGAAAGCAGTAACTTGGCAAAAGCTACAATAGCTTCCTAAACCCGCTCTATCAAAGCCCATTGTTTATAGGGGGGCCTCTAATAAAAGCTGGCAGTCATTACATGTGTGGGTATCATCAGGTTAGTGCTGCACCTCACCTGGCCTGCTGAAGCAGAGCAGTATTCAGACTCCTTGCTGTAGTGCCAACCTTCTGCTGCTCTGCTATGTGGTGTTTCAGCTGAAGGGAGGTGGCTGTGGCCCACAGCATGCCTGCTCTTGTTCAAGACTCCTTTGCAGACTTATTGATAACTTCAAAATTTTCACCTTTTCAAGGTACAGGCATTAAGCCTGAGCCATAAAGAACATACAATCTCTCCCTAATTTACACTACCGTCATACTATTTAATTAAATAAATTCCTTTTTAGTTTAAAGCTAATTTGTCTTCATAATGCCTTAGTATTGCTATACTTAATGCTTTATTTTGTGAAGTATCAATTATGCAACACTGGCCTTGGTGGCAGAGTTTGACTTTCACTGTCTATGACAATACCAAGATTCCACCTGCTCATTAGCTGTCATCCTAACAGAGCATGGAGTAGTGGGAGGGTCCTCTCTCCTTTCTATAGACTACAAAAGTGTATGTAAGTACTGCAGACAGCTCCAGCTTTACTGGAATAAGAGTTTATTACAACTAGACAACAAATTCCTGGAATATTTCCCAACAACTTTGTAAAAATAAAAGCTTCAGCCAGTTTTAAAAACTCTTATCTACTGTTCAGAACGCACAGCTGAGAATGATTAAGGAGAGACGACCATGACTGAAAAGACAGAAATGAACAGTTGCTATTATACCATATGCCACGCTTTTATTTCTACCTGAGCTTAGTACAGTACATAACAGACTTTACATTTCAGCCACAGTGCAGTTAAATCTGAATGCAGAAGAGTAAACACTCAGATCAAATCCCCTGGGGCAGGCACCCAGACTGAATGCAACCTCCACACGCTCAGGTGGGGTATAGAACTTTAATCCCCAGGCAACAACAGAGCAGAATTACAGTACAGGATATGCACAAATCTGGACACTCAATGCTGAAGCAGCATCTGTAGAAAGCAGAGGGGTTTGTTACAGTCACATACATACCCAAGCTAAAGGTGGCTCCCTCTTTGCTGCTATCAATTTCCTAGTGTTTTAAATTGATATCTATACAAAGTTAACTATCTTGTTTTCTTCACCTCATCCCCTAATTGAAACTCATCCTTTGAGACACCTGCAAAGCATTAGCTCTCAGAATGGCACAGTTAATTTTCTTAAGATGCAGGCAAAAGACATAATGTCTTGAATTAACAGTACTTCTCTGGTGTGGTTCAAAATAATCCTAATGTGGTCCTTTGTCATGTGTGCTTTTTTGTAATTCCTTTATTTCCCACAGTCCCTGCAAGCTTGTGTTACATAGTAATGGTAAGACACAGCAAGATCTCACTGCCTTTCAAAATACCTATTATTGGCATCTGAAGCAGTATCTAATTGCAGCAACATTGATGGTAGCATCAAATCTTTACTTAAACCTCTGATTATTTTTCAGCTTACCTCAATCACTTTGCTCTTTCAAAATCAATTCTGTCTTCTGACTTACTACTTAATGCTGGAAGGACTACATAGTTGTAGCATTGCCAGGAGTTAGGTACAATAACAGTGTTTTGGTAAGAGTAAAATGTTCTGGAAAGATAGTAAGTTTTCGTGCCTCCGCCATCTGGTCTTCTGTATTTCTGGAACTGGGTATAATTATGTGCTGAAAAAGGATCCTTAGAACTGGCTGCTTTAAATAGGCTCACTCTCCTTTTCAGATGACTTTCGTCTTTCTTTTTTCCACCAAGTTCTTCAAGAAGAATTCACCTAATCAAAAGGCAAAAAAGCACCAGAAGTCATTTGTAGGTGTTTCCAGGACATGAAGCGAAACAACGTGCATTCCTATTGCATTCTGTATTAGGGCTTACCAATATTCTATAGCTAGTCAGTTCTACACAGCTGCATTTTCAGTACAGCCAGGATGTGTAAAAAGACAAATCCATAACTCAACAAGCAATACCATCCATCCCCTCAAAATCTGAATTTTCTTCATGTTTAGTGTTATGAAAAAGCTCTGCTGCTTTGTGTTCTCAACCAGGTCGAGGTGAATTGATTTAATTAAAAATTAATTCCTATTTTATGAAGTAGCAGCAACTTGTAATGAAACCCACTATAAATCCTGCTTCAAATAGCCTGAGAAGCAAGGTGCCCCAAACCATCCTTCTGTGCTCTCTCCTTAGGAAAAAGCAGAATGTTGCACCTACACGGCAGTGCCACTAAGATCAGCTGCTACTGAACACACTGCTTTGTCAGAAAAAGCACTGCCTTAAGCGCGTCTAATTATTTCTAGGGCACTGCAAATAAATTCTGCCTTCAGCATCAAAACTGCACCACAAGCAACAACTGGCTCCATTAAAGCCTCAAGTGTTCAAGCAGCAGATTGTAATGGAAAAACTGAAGGCTGTGTACCCTATATATGAATCCTGTGCATTAAGTATAGCACAAGCTCGGTTTGCCAAAAAATCAGCTTATTCAAGGTGACAAGCCACACAACAATTGCACAGATACATACTATAGATGAACTACAAAAAACAGTAAATGTAAACAGTAAAAAAGCGTGACTAGATAATTTGCTCTTGAGAAAAGGTGAGCTTTGTTGCCTATTACCTCACAGTTTTAGCTTGATTACATAAAACATCACATCCTAAATAATTTAACACTGCTTAGTAATGTACCTGCTTTATAGGAGGAACGCACTAGAGGCCCGCTAGCTGTGTAATGGAATCCAAGATCGTTTCCTACTTTTTCCCAGTATTTGAATTTTTCAGGTGTTACATACTCCTCAACCTGAGTGAAAAGAATTCATTCTGATCAGCCCTTAATGTAAAGGAAATAAAATATAGACAGCATGTGGCAACATGGCACAATTAAATCTCAATTCAAAACGTTACATTCCAAAACAGATATAGTTGCAAAATTGTTGCTTCATCATGCTCTTAGCTCTGTTTTCAAACAGTCCTTTTGCACAAACCTTTTTGTCCAAGTTAGTAAAAACAAACAAACAACATAACAAACATCTCTTTGTTAGCAAATTATTTCAGTGAAACAGAGTAACAGTACAGAGACTCAAGCTCTGGACAGGTTACAGAAGAAATAAATGGTAATTTCTGCAGCTGAAGTGGCACCATTAAGGGCCAGCCTACCAGTCAGCGAAGAAGAGCTGACTTGAGCCATTCTGTTTGAGGCATGCAGGGAGACTCTTGTTTTGCAGAATCATTCCTCAGCTCCAGCTGTCTGCCCAGCTAATAGTAACAATGGAAAGTCTGCAGAAGATGGAATGATTGTAGCTGGGGCCATTTCTAGCAAGGAGTCCGTAACAGATGGGAATAAAGTTAGACAAGGAAGGAAATATTTCCCAACATCCACAATTAAGGGAAGGATGCAAATCAAGCCTCATTTTAGAAAGAAAAAACTTTACTGCAAGGTCCAGACCATAATTCTGTCTGTAAATGAAATTACCTTTAGGTGACGTTTTGTTGGTTGCATGTATTGTCCTAGAGTCAAACAATCCACACCTGCTTCACGCAACACTGCAAAAATAAATGTCCTTGTTAGTGGCAAAAGCACCACGAGGGATTGTCAGCAAGTGGCTAACACCCCACGTGCAAGGCTGAACCGCAGCACCCTGCAGGGGGTACGTTCTGCTCTCCCTGAACGGAGCCTGCAACCTCCACAAGCAGCAGCAATGCACCTCGTTCTGAGATCCAAGCTGCTGCACGATCTCTCTAGTTCAGAGCTGGAGAGAATACCACTGCACTGCAGTCACTTGTCTCACTGCAGAGACAACATGCTCTTTTTTGTTTTGCTGCTTTTCACTGCATCTTTAGGTCAAAGCCCTCCTCTGAGGGAAAATGGACACATGCACTTAGCACTTCTCCACTGGTTCAAAGCCTTCATGCTGAAGTTACCAGTACTTTTCTGAAGAGAAATAAATTTGCCAACACCTTTAGCCAGCTTTACACACCGAAGGGTTAGCTTTAATGTCTGCAAAAACTTGCAAGATGGATATTTACTAGAATCAAGATGCAACAAATGAGTTCAGGTTGTCTGCTTACAGAAAGTAACCCAGGCACCCAGCAGTCAGCTAGCTTGCAGGGCGATGCTTGCTGTGGTGATCAGGTGTGAGGGATCAGATTTTGAATGAATACCTCTATGTATTTCCTGGCTATGTGAACTGCTTGCCCCCAAGTCAAATAAAAAGATGATGTTTTGTTTACAGCACTTTGCACTCACTGTTACCTTGAAACTTCTTTACAGTGAGGTGACAGAGCACTGGAACAGGCTGCCCAGGGAGGTGGTAGAGTCTCCTCTGGAGATGTTCAAGACCTGCCTGGACGCCTACCTGTGCAACCTACTGTAGGGAACCTGCTTTGGCAGGGGGGTTGGACTTGATCTCTGGAGGTCCCTTCCAACCCCTACAGTTCTGTGATTCTGTGATTCTGTGAAACCTGATTAGGCTGATAAATGGGTTTAATAGCAGCACATTTACATGTTCTTCAGCTCCTACTTAGAGAAAGGGAGAGGAATGAGAGTAGAGTAACTGGATGGCTCCAAAGACATCCATGACATGCAAACAGCCCTGAGGCTGAACTTCACACTTCTGTAGGAAATGCTGGCCAGGAACTGATACGTCACAGCTGCAGAAAAACAAGGCTGTACCACTGCCTTCTAAATATATGGTTATTATGCAAGGGATAAAGTACAGGTAGACAATCCTTCAGCTGGATATGGGAGAAACATTGTAGGATGTACAAATATCTTGTGAAAAATGCCTGTGTGCACTATCCACTGGGAACTTTTCTCTTCTTAGAAAAGAATAGCAAAGAAAACAAGAAAACTCACACTTCATCGTTGAAAACACCTGTTCATCTGTCTCACCCAGCCCTAGCATGAGGGATGTCTTGGAAATGACACGGGGCTGCACCTCCTTGGCGTGCTTCAGCACACGGACGGACTGCTCGAAGTTGGCTCGGGGATCGCGGATTTTCCTTTGAGGTTTTCAGCACGACGGGGAGAACATCGGCGAGTTAAAGACGCCACGACAGTTACATTCTGTTACATCCCGCGAAGCCCAAACCACGGCTCGCCGTTCCGGGCCGCCTGCCGGCCCCGAGGCCCGGGCGCGGCGCGGCGCGGGCGCCCTCTGCGGGCGGGCGGAGGGCAGGGCGGCGCCGCGCGAGGCAGGCTGGGAACCGCGGCCCCGCGCCATTTCGGAGCTCCCCGCCCGCCTCCCCAGTCCTGAGGCGGCCGGCCGCCCGAGCGGAAGCCGGCGGGCGGGGGAAGGCCGGCGCGACGCGAAGCGGCAGCACGCCGCGTGGCTGCGGGCGGAGCTGTACAGAACGTTCTTGCCAGCAGGGAAGCGTTCCTTTTTCTCGCGGCAGAGTACTGTCAGATCGCGAGCGCGACGCACCCGCAGAACTGCGGAAAACCAACAGGCTACAGAGTGCCGGGAGCAGCGGGATGGAACAGCGCCCGGCCAGCCTGCGCCTTTTCTGCCGCAGGGCAAGCTGTGTGTAAGCCGCAGATAGTTCAAAGTACTACAGAGCTGCGAAACAAAACCTAGTTCTGAAGAAGAGAACCCGACACAATGGGATTCAGCTATGCTCTGTTCACAGTGAATGTTTCAGTTCTTTTGTTCGTCCTTTTTTAGGGCAAAGCGAGAGGCCTGTGGTCATCTCAGGAGGAAAAGGGAGCGGTGGTGCCGCCTCTGAGTGGGATTGGGACCGAGAGCTGCGTGCTGAAAGCAGGTTTAAATAAATGGCTCTGGCTCCCAGTCACAGAGAATTCCTTTCACAAAATCCCTTCTCCTACTGTACTGTATTCTGCTTCCATTTACACACGCTGTTCTTACTTACCTCTGTAATTCCGGAACGGTCTCCACGTTGTGGGCATACACGTCCAGCCCTGACAGTGCTACCTTCTCCACAGCCTTAAGGTCCCCTCGGAAATCAGGGGTAAGGCATTCCACAACTATTTTTGAGTTCCTGAGAAAAAGAAACTGGAAATGAACACATCCGTGGGATTTTTATCACTGTCGGTAAACATTCAATATAACAAAACCCAAACATAAGCAAACCGACGATGTGCTCATAAGCAGAGCGAAGTTAATTGGGGATATATGGCTAAAACAACAGATTTCTGCAAGTACTGACACTATTGCTTTTTTGTAATATCATTGTTCAAACAAAACACAATGTGTTTAATTCCTGATTTTACTGATGTGAGCTGAAATAGAATGAAAGTCAAATAATACAAAACCCCCCATTTCTTTGCAGTCTGTCTATATGTAATATTTTTCTGTCAGTCACAGGTTACTGCATGAAGTTTTAAATACTATTTTACTATTACAGCTCTGAAATACAGAGAAGATGTATTTCTGACCTGACACATAGTCAAAGAAATAATCCAGTGCTTAACTTTAAATAAGCCTGTGCTAAATTGGAAGTGCATTCCAATTTAAAATATTTTAGGACTTTTGTACTAGAAATATGAATAATGGGGGGGAAAAGGGCACATAAACAAGCTGAAGGCACACTTTTCTATTTGTATGGCCTCTCACAGAATCCAGCTAAAGGCAATTTTGACCTACATGCCATAGCACGTGTTGTGATTTAAGCTGGCAGGTGGCTCAGCATCACGCAGTTGTTTGGTTACTCCCCCCTTCCCAGTGGGATGGGGGAAAGAATCAAAAAGAAACAAAGTGGAACTTGTGGGTTGAGATAAAACTATTTACTAAGATAAAGAAAAGGATAATAATTATGACAAATATAGCAAGTGATGCACAAGCAATTCCTTACCACCCCCTGACCAATGCCCAGCCAGCCCTCCAAGTAGCAAAAGAGAGTGAGATGAACTCCCACACCTCCAAAACTCCTTCTGTGTGATGTCAAATAGCACGGAATGTCCCTGTGGCCAGTTTATGTCAGCTGTCCTAATTCTGTTCCCTCCCAGCTCCTTGGGGCCCTTTGCTGCAAATGGCTTTGGCTCTGAAAGACGTCACAGGCTAAATAAATAAATACATAAATAGATAGATAGCAGGCAACTATAAACATCGGTGTGTTATAATTTTTCTCCTAGAACCAAAATATAGCATCATATCAGACCCTTTGAAGAAAACAATTCCGTCCCAGCTGAAACTAAGATACAACAAGAAAGTTTTTTACTAAGAACAGTAATACATTATTAACGTACCTTTCTTTCAGATGGGAGACCGTCTTTGCGAAGTGTTCTGCTCCACCATCAGGCATATCTACAAGTATTCCAATTATTCAGTTAACCTTTCTGCTCAAGAAATGCATTTACTTATTAGTAGAGACAAAAAAAAAAAAAAAAAAAAGCAGAGTCACAATTAAATCCGAACTCATAAAGGAGTTCTTAGTCAAAGATAAAACTCATCTTATTTTACTGCTTATGCCAAAGGTTTGCAACAGATATTCTACCAAGCCTCACTCTGCACAGAGATTAAATATAATCATATTCACTTGTTTTTGTGGGCTCACTGTCAGCCTAAGAACAAAATGACTTTAACTATTTAAACTTTAACTACTGATCTGAGAAACCGTCCTACAAAAAAACTGAAACATCCAACTAAGCATTATTGCTCTTTTCTTGTAAACCACTTTGAAGCTATTGGATTTTCACCTAAAGTATATTGAAGAGTCCTTACAATTGTTTTTCTCATGCACATGATGTCACCACAAAAGAGCTATTACAACCACAGAACAAAAAGCAACTTTCAATACTATTAAGTATAATTTATTTCAGGTGTAGCTTTTGAAAACAAGTTCTGCAATAGCATAGCGTATGAATGTGATTTTTTTTCTGATCAAGTAGAATATAGTGTGTGTACTTTGAAAAAAGAAAAAGGTTCTTACAATATTTTATTAATTATTGTATATTTTTAATGTTAAGACCTCATTGCTATGTACAGCTATCTGAAAGGAGGCTAGAGAAGAAGGTGTCAGGTGTGAGGCATTGGCATCAAGCTGCGCCAGGGGAGGTTGAAATTGAGCCTCAGGAAAATATCTTTGTGGAAAGGGTGGTTAGGCATTGGAATGGGCTGCCCAGGGAAGGGGTGGAGTCCACCACCATCCACACGTGTGGATGTGGCACTTAGGGACATGGCTTAGCAGCAGGGTTAGCTGGATGGTTGGACTCGATCACAGAATAATTTAGGTTGGAAAAGATGATCCTCTGAGTGTAACTTCTATTGTATTTTACCAGGTATAGAGAGATACTAGGAGTATGTAGGCACTTTCCAAAGGTTTGGCACAGTTGACTCATTTCAAAGAAGAATTCTCAACACTTGCACTGATTTGCACACTTGTGCAAATTGCACAATTGAGCCCACACTGGAAGACATCAGTGACAGCATACTAACCGTCTCTGTCCACCGATGTCAATACAACGTAGTCCAAGCCCCACTCAGCAATAGCTTTTGCTGTGTTATAAGGCTCCTCGGGATCCAGTGGAGGTGGATTTTTTGCTGTCTTTACTGAACAAAATCTGCAGCCTCTAGTGCACGTGTCACCCATCAGCTGAAACAAGAAGGGCATTCCTACATTTACATTTTGCACATCACTACTGCTCAGCCAAGAAACAGCTGCATATGCTGTTTCAGCCTATCAGAACGCCTCAATACTAAAGAAAAAGGTGAGGAAGTGATTTCCTGTACATTTCATGTAACAAACCCACACCACTTCAGCAGAGGTTGCCACATATCCAACAATGTGCTACAAGTGCCTCAAACAGTTATAAAATACATGAAAAATTGTTAATGGCTTACCATAATAGTAGCTGTAGCTGTAGCATATTCACCACCTCCCCAGCATTCCCCAATGTTGGGACAACGTGCTTCCTCACATACCTGAAGTTAAACAGGCAGGAAAGTACTATATTTCAGTACTAGCCTACAAATAATCCTAATTCCATCTGTGATAAATGAGATTAAACAGAGTTACACATCGTTATGGAAGAAGTCAGCAGAATGGCTAGGAAGAAAATAATTGTTTCCTGGCATCCACTTCCATTCTTTACCCTCTAATATATAAACCCAGAGCCAACAACTCCTCAGCCAAGTAACTGCCTTATTAGTTAGCACAGATTGTCATTAGCATTTTAAATTTACACATTTCACAAGATACTGTATTCACAAGATCCATGATACATCTTGCCCCCAAAAAAACCCATAAACAAACAAAAAAAAACTCCAAAACCAACCAACCAAACAGAAAAAAAAAGCTCTCCATGCATACCTACCACTTTTTATTACCTTTCAGGGGGAAGTTCTTTACCAAGAGAGTGGTGAGCCTGGAACAGGCTGCCCAGAGAGGTTGTGGATGCCCCCCTACCTGGTGGTGTTCAAGGCCAGGCTGGATGGGGCCCTGGCAGCCTGGGCTAGTATTAGATATGGAGGCTGGCAGCCTTGCCTGCGACAGGGGGTTGGAGATCTATGATCCCCTGGGCCATTCTACGTTTCTGTGATTGAGGGTGTATTTAAGCAAATGCAAATTTCTGCAATTCCTTTTATAAAATTATTTATTATACATATTAATTTTTAATTAATTTGTTTTAATTTGTTTTTTGTAATTTTAATTAATTTAATTAATTAAAAATATTAATTATTTATTATATATATTTTTAAAATATGTATATATCCCTGAAACTGTGTGCATTTCCATTAAAAATAGTTACAACTGGCATCTTTTCATCTCTTTGATGATGCAAGTATTAAGTCATAATATTTAAAATCACAGCAGAAAAAAAACATTAAAAAGAAAAGTCAGCATTGGGTTTGATTTCAGCATCTAAGACCATACAAGACATAATGTCTACCTGTCCTCCACAAAAACAAACATACAAACAAAAAATCATCATCATCTCTACAGGAAACCTTGGTTTGATACTAGATTTACCGTGTGCAGATTTAAACTCCTCAAGGTATTTTTCAGTTTATTGTAATTTTTGCCCATGGGAATCTCTGTTTTCAGCCATGGAGGAAGTCGTAGCCTGAACAAAAATCAAACAAATGTAAACATTAATACATTATTTACATGGTAAGTTTCCATTAATTATACAGATCCATTTCAATTTGTTACACATCCCAGTGAGGTAGGGTTCCTTGAATATTGATGCAGCTCAGTGGCCAGCATTAATATCACTCACAGTCATAACAGGCTTCTCTCTTCTATGCATGTTACCATCCCAGTATTCAAAAATAGGAATTTGTTGTCACTTGAAGGCTTAAGGCTGTAATGATGGGATTTCATAGTACAACAGTGGAGAACACAACAATTAACAACAGTGTAAAGTACACAACTAGCAAGAAGGGAGATCAACTGTATAACTGGGAATATACTTTGTTTCAAGTATTTTTTAACTTATTCTGCATTAATTTGTTTTTTGATACCAGTAATATTTTTTTCAGCCCTTAAGTACAGCATGCTACCCTCTGATGTGCATTTATAACTTGGTACGGCACAAGCATTCAAGTTGAGAAAATATCATCACGTCTTAGTTTTGTTACATATTCAGAGTTAATACTGTGGGTTTTTTCCATGCAAAATCAATCTGGCAAGCCAATACAACAGAATTTAATAAAAGGACACGGTATACATTCTGCAGTTAATACCTGAACATGCAAGAAACTGCATGGAAGCGACTACAGCTGTTTGAAATTACATTTACCTTTCTCCTTTCTGACGCTTTAAATTGCCTTTGTACTCAGCCCACGCACTCTTATCTGCCAAATCTCCTGATACAAAGTCCTCTAAGTCTGGTCCATTTTGGAGAATTTTTTTTGTCTCCTCAGGCAAAGAACTTGATGTTCCGTACTGGTTACACACATGGCTTTCTGACACCTAAAAAAAAGCAACGGTGTTATGTACTAAATTGTAAATGAATTAGCGTTACATACTGAAGAACCGCCAGTCCTTTTGGTGGTTTACCATACGCTCTGCAACAGACTTCGTGCAAGTCTCTTCCCAAGGGCATTTATGTTAAACATTTATACTCTCCTTCACTTCAAGTCATGAAAAACAGACAAAAAGAATGACCAGTTCCCATATATCTCAGCGTCAGACTAAATTAAACAGTTTTTGATACAAGTATCACTGCATGGACTACTTTTTGCTTTTGAGACCGACAGGATTTTGAGGTTTAGATGCACATCGTCAAGTCAGCCACAGAAACGTACTATTTCACCGTGGACACGGCCTCAGTCAGAGCAGCACGGCACGGCTGAGATCGGGCCCAGCCGCAGCTCCAGCAGGGTCACCAGAGCAGTGCCCGCGCCGGGATGCTTCTGAAGACCTGCAAGGAGGAGAGCCCGCAGCTGGGCAGCCCGTGACGGAGCGTCACCCACAGAACCGCTCCTGGCGTTCGGAAGGAACCTCCCGTGCTCAGCTTTGGGTCCGCTGCCTCTTGCCCTGCCGGCACCAAGAAGAGCCCGGCTCTGCCCTCCGCGCCCTGCTTTCAGCTACTTCTGCCCATTGATGGACCTCTCTCCCACGCCGCCTCAGACTGCACAGCCCCAGCTCTGGGAGCTCCAGGCCCTTTGTATCTCCACGGCCCTGCGTGTCTCTCGTACTGGGGACGCAGAACCGGACCCAGCGCTCAGGTGCGGCCTGGGCAGCTCTAAGCAGAGGTGAAGAGCCGCTCGTCCCGACCCGCAGCCGACACTCCGCCCGACGCAGCCCGAACCCCACCGCAGCACAGCACACCACACCGCACCGCACTGCACCGCGCGTTTCCTAACCCGCCCGCGGCGGAGCCCTGAGGCGCGCAACCACGCTACTGGCCGCGACGCCCCGGCTGACAGACGGCACCCACCCACCCGCGCGTGAGGCCCCGATAGCAGCAGCAGTCGCCGGGCAGCGGTAGCGGCGGCGCCGCGGCAGCCCCTGGGCAGCAGCGACATGGCGACGCCCCCCGCCGCCTGGATCGACGCTCTCGGCGCTCGACCGCCCGCGCCGGCTCGCGCGCATCGGGGCTCGCCTTCTCTCGCCTCTCGGACGGCGGCCTCGGCGCGATGACGTCGACGGCTCGCGACCGGCTACAAGAGCGCGATGACGTCACACGCCGCCCCTTTCGGCGCCGCTTGCCGCCAGGTTAGTCTCGGCTGGTGGCTGCATCCGATGCCATCCGCGGCGGACCGGTTCCGCGCCGCCCCGCCGGGCTGCGAGCGGCTGATCGGGGCTGAGGTCGCACCGTCGCGGTGCTCTGGGCGCGGCCCTAGCGGGGGAGCCGCTGGGATGGTGCTTTCTCCGACGTGCCCCTTCCCGCTCCTCCCCGCTCTAGGCCTGGCCGGGTCCCGCTGCTGGGAAGGGCGCGGAGGCCGCCACCTCCCTGGGGCCCGGGGTCGGGCCTGCGTGTGGGCACGGGTGGCCGTAGCGGTGGCGGTAGAGGGTTGGAAGATCCCGTAGCTGCGGGCCGCGGGGTACGTGGGGGTTAGGAGAAGCAGGGCGGTGTAAGAAGAAGGGGCTTTCCCTCCCGGTCTGCAGCTTGTCGTGGTTGTCGTTTGCAGAATGAAGACCATCCTCAGCAACCAGACCGTGGACATCCCTGAGCAAGGTGCGTAGTGCTCTCCTGAAAGGCCCGTCGTGCTGCCGGCCTCGCAGCCGTAACGTGCGTTTGTCTGTGCTCGCTTTGCAGTCAGCGTGTCCCTGAAGGGCCGCACGGTCATCGTGAAGGGCCCCCGGGGAACTCTGCGGAGAGACTTCAACCACATCAACGTGGAGCTGTCCCTACTGGGAAAGAAGCGCAGGAAGGTGAGTGCTGTGGGGCTGCGCTCAGTACCCACTGGGGGGGGGGCAGCGCGGCCTGTTCAAAGGCTTGAAAAGTCTGGGAGCTTCAAGCAGATGTTCCTGGTTTTGCTTTCTTTGCGAATGAGTTCCTTTATGTTTCCTGGGACGAGTTGGTCTGGTGGAATGCTGAGGCCCGCTCCACGGCAGCCTTGAAGTTCTGTTGTGTCTTGGAGTGGTGTTGATTGTTCTTCTGTGTGGTTGCAGTTCTCAGTGTTGGGAAGGGGGTACCTACTGTGTGCTGTTCTTTTGCCTGGTGCATTTTAACTGGCCAAAATTAATTCAGTGCATTTCGTTTTTTGGAATTGTCAAGTTACGTTGGGAGGGCTGATTCTCTAAATATGTACATAATATTTCCATGTGGTGTAAACAGGTCTTCAACAAAAGAAAAAGGGCAAAAATGGCTGATTTTGGTAACTTTTAGTAAGCGTTTACTGCATCAGAAAAGCACTAGATCCTAACACTGTAACTGAGAAAATGGATAGCTTACATGTAGTAGTCTGACTTCAGAACAACTAGTTCAGCATTTAGGATGCTGCATCCTTCAGCTTAAGATTTCAGAACCTTTTTAGACCTGCTGCCTGTCCCAGCTTCTTTGCAGGTTTGTTACTGATGGGATAAGAATAAAACTTCTTGTGTGTATGGGGGTCACCACATGGGGCTGGAGCTGGGTGGGCCTTTAACAGTCTTTTGAGGAAATAAAGTATATCTGTGATTTTAATGGCTTCTCATTCTTAATTTGTCACAAAGCCACTTTATTTTTAGTACTGGACTGTAACTTACAGGTTTGTTGTGTTATTTATTTCTGTGTAGCTGCGTGTTGACAAGTGGTGGGGTAACAGAAAGGAGCTGGCAACAGTTCGCACAATTTGCAGCCATGTCCAGAACATGATAAAGGGCGTTACGCTGGTAAGTTTTGTTTTCAGATGGCATCTTTGTGGCAAGAGTGGACAGACTTTAACGAGCTTTTCTAAGCATGTCAGTTGTTATGCATATGAACAGCTTGCTTTCTTCTGTTTGGACATCAAAGAGATTCAGGGGGAGGAAGGCATGAACAATAAGCAGTGGATGTTTCTTGGGCTTAGTATCTTGTCCTTGCAGGGACCATATCTTCAGTGTATTTGGTTCTTAAATGTAGGCAGTGAGCTTTGTGCATCTGTTTTCCCTTCTGGATGACTTGTGATTTCCTGGTTTCAGTACCTAACGATGCCTTTTATCCTAGGGCTTCCGTTATAAGATGAGGTCGGTGTACGCTCACTTCCCAATCAATGTAGTTATCCAGGATAACGGCTCACTGGTGGAAATCCGGAACTTTTTGGGAGAGAAGTACATTCGCAGGGTGCGCATGAGGCCAGGTGAGTACATCTGGGGATATGGTACTCAGCTCTTTCTAATAGCGCTCCAAGCTGTTCCCTTTTGGTGCTGCCACTGATAGCAAGAAATAGCAGATTACTGGAAGCAGCATTTCTCAGTCTGTCTGAATTTATGTGACCTTGCAATACATTTACTGCTGTGGTTAATAACAGTTTTGCAGTTTATCCTTAGTAATGGGAAAACTTGAAGCTCGTTGCTGCAGTAGAAGTTAAAAGGATCCTAGCGTGTAATTTCATTGTTGTTTGGTTTTCACAGAGTTTGTTGGTGTGAATTTCTGGTGCTCAGTTTTAGACTGGTGTTTCTGTTTTAAACTTTGTAAGTCATCTGATTTCACACACATGTAGAGTTGTATTTTTAATTTTGTAATTAGCCAGGAGCACGTCTCAGTTTTCATCTTATGCTCAGCTCTGCGTACCTGTGTTTAGCAAGAAGCCTAATAAGGTGAACATTGGAAGGACAGGAATCATACAGTCATTATGGTTGGAAAAAATCTCTAAGATCGTTTAGTCCAACATACCATCAATATTGACAACTAGATCATATCCCTAAGTAGTACATCTGGCCTTTCCTTAAACACCACCAGGGACAGTGACTCCAGCACCTCCTGGGCATTCTGTTACAATGCCTCTTTCTGAGAAGAAATTTTCTAATATCCAGACTGAACCTCGGTCCAGCCAGTTTTGTGCCTGGCACAGTTGAGCCCAAATTATTATGTATTATATGATCCTGTACTATCTGGAGCAGTGTGTGGATGGGACCTTGGGACTGTCTCTGTTCTTGAGTAATCCCTCATTTTCAAACTGCTGCTCAAAGTATCAAGCAGAAAATGGGAATTTTTTTGGAGTGTGCAGGCACACTTCATCATCCAAGTGTGGTAGAGCTAGCACCTCGAAATGTCCCAAACCTCTCAACAGCAGCCAGTGATTGCTCAAAGAACTACAACTGAACCATGCTGGGGTACAGGGCACCTGATACCTCACCAGACGTAACTGTGATCCTGCCTCAAGTAGCTGTGTCATGGCATCTCAGATCCCTGTGCTTCCTAATGCACTGGAGATCTTGAGTAGATGGGAAGTCAGCAGGCACCAGGACAATTGAACCAATCATTGAAATTTTTACAAAAACTGTGAAGAGAAAAATGTAACACTTCAGAAACACAATTATTTTGAGATGTCCAGATTTTTTTTTATACTTCCACTACTGTGTGTGTGTGTGTAACAGATGGTATTTCAGGATGTGTTTAGATAAAAGTATCAGACTGCTCAGAACTCCCTGGTAGATGCAACATGGAGTTGGTACAGGGGCTTTGACTTTGGTTTACAGTGTGGTGTTAAAGGTGGGCTTGACTACTGTACTTGATTTTTTTTTTTTTAAATCAGCATTTACTTCAAAGATAGGTGTTAGTGAAGTGTTAGTTTACCACCTATTAACTATAGAGCAAACTATAGAATTGCACTTGTGATACTTTCTGTGCAAGAAAGTTTCCTGTTAGATTCCTGAATGTGGTAGTGCTTGTCCCTTAGAAAGGTTCTTATTGTTTCTTGTGTAAACATGGTGCTTAACATAGCAGAGGATAGGATTTTTTTTTTCAGTGACTTGGTCTGTATCTGGTTTTGTGTTCACGAACATAAGAACGTAGAAACTGGCACCACCTAGCTGACAGTCATGCTGGCAGATTCTCCAACTTATGTGCTGTGTTGGTGATTAATGCTGTAGTGCAGTAATGTGCAAGTCATGCTCTGGATTGAAGGGAAGTAATCTTTGTGTGCTGAAACTGCTGGGAGAGGACAATCTTGGAAGAGTTGTGGGAGGACCATTTTAAGTCATAGAAGCTCATTTGTTGTCTAGAGTAAGAATCACAGAATTATAGAATGGCCTGGGTTGAAAAGGACCACAATGATCATCCAATTTCAACCCCCTGCTATGTGCAGGGTCACCAACCACCAGACCAGGCTGCCCAGAGCCACATCCAGCCTGGCCTTGAATGCCTCCAGGGATGGGGCACCCACAGCCTCCTTGGGCAACCTGTTCCAGTGCATGAAAAACTTCCTCCTAATATCCAACCTAAACCTTCCCTGTCTCCGTTTGAAACCATTCCCCCTTGTCCTATCACTATCCACCCACGTAAACAGCCGTTCTCCCTCCTGTTTATACGCTCCCTTCAAGTACTGGAAGGCCACAATGAGGTCTCCCTGGAGCCTTCTCCAGGCTAAACAAGCCTGGTTCCCTCAACCTTTCTTCATAGCAGAGGTGCTCCAGCCCTCTGATCATCTTAGTGGCCCTCCTCTGGACCCACTCCAAGAGCTCCACGTCCTTCCTGTACTGGGGGCTCCAGGCCTGGACACAGTGCTGCAGATGGGGCCTCACAAGAGCCAAATAGAGGGGGGCAATCACCTCTCTCTCCCTGCTGGCCACCCTTTTTTTTTAATGGAGCCCAGAAGAGCCTTCATCCGTAAATTGGGACCTGAATGCTGTGTCTTTAGTATGTATTTATTGTCTTCACTGATAACAAGTTTGTGCATTTTCTTTCCTGTAGGCGTTTCCTGTGCTGTTTCTCAAGCCCAGAAAGATGAGCTGATCCTTGAAGGGAATGACATTGAATTGGTCTCCAATTCAGGTTTGTGAAGTAGTTGCAAGGGAAAATGTGATGATATGTTTGAGTTCATCTGGAGATGCCAGTTTAGCAAACAATTTCTGTTCTTTTTCTCCAATGCTGAAGTAAAGGACAGCTCAGATGTTTCTGCCTCATGCCTCATTGCCAAGAAACACTGAGTGAAATGCATACTTCTTTCTTTAGAACTGACATGATTTCAAGTTGATAATTCCCTCCTCCAAGTGATGGTTTTATTAGCTAAAATACTAGAGATACTGTTTTTGGATCTCTTATGCTAATGGTTTTGCTTTCTTCATAGCTGCCTTGATCCAGCAAGCCACTACAGTCAAGAATAAAGATATCAGGAAATTCTTGGACGGAATCTACGTCTCCGAGAAAGGAACAGTACAGCAGGCAGATGAGTAAAACTAATAGGTTGGTGTCCTATGTGGATTGGCATTATGTTGTACGTTAACGTGCTGTGGCTGTCAGGTGTGTTCAGTTCTTTCTGAGGACAAGCATGGCACCTTTGCATCTTGAAGTCTATGATGTACAGAATATGGGAGCTGGGAACAGTGGGGATGTGAGATAGCGTGTGTGAGAAGCAAGTGTCTGAAGACTGTGACTTGAACTGGGGGCTAGATAAAGTCTATTTCAGCAGAGCCTCAGTGGTTTACCATGTTCACTGCAGGGATGCAGTCGTATAAAGCTTCTTTATATCCTGAAACTTAGATTTCTTGGCAGCAACTTCACGTCTCTTAATAATGTTGTTTTATGTTGCTGTTGGTCTAAACATCTAACTGAATGTGGTATTTCTATAGCATGAATGTTAGTTTGGATGATAATTGAGAATTGAAAGCCAACTGGCCTGGGATGAAAGAGCAATTTCCAGTTATTACAGAGGAAACTTCCTTGGACTAACGCTCCTCCTGGTTATACGCTGGCTTTCCTTTTATTTTTTTCTCCCTAAATAAAGTAATACTAAGAAAAAAAAAAAAAGGATAGCATTTCACATGTTTTAGGGTCTTCTGCGTAGTTCTGTAAATGCTTGTAAACAAAAGTCAGATAAACAGTGATAAAATAATTGTTAATGTAAATTTGTTACTGACATTGAGCACAAGGATTTGGTGTTTAAGAATTCTAACTGCTAGAGGAATCTGATGCATTTCAGGTATGTATGGTTGCTTATGTGGTCCAAATAAATAACTTGTGTAGGATGAGGCAGGCTGAGTTGCATTTAAGATAAATGTGTGCCTTCCAGAGCTTGAGACAGGATGCTGATGAAGTGAATTTCATAAACTAAATCTTAGTAGCAGCAGGCAGATATCAGGTGCTTACAGGCTGCAGAAAAAGCGATTGCCAGCATTGCGCAGAGTTCTGTAAGAAATAGAACAACTTCTCTCTTTATTATACAGTTTTGAGCATTTACTCATTTTCAAGTAATCTTGTCTGAACAAGTTGGGCAGATTTTTTGGTGCTATTAATTCTTGTTTTGTATTAAAACTACCAGATAGATGAACTTGTTTTATGTCCGAAGCTTTTGAATGTCATGTTTGCATTGCTAGGTAAAACTTTTTAAAAAGCTCTTTAACGTTTTATTTCCAGTTGTCTGGGTCCTGAAAAAAAAAAACAAAACAAAAAATGAGACAGCATATCAGCACGTACTGGATTGGGACATCTGATACGGAAACTGAACAAGATCAGAGGTTTAATAAAATAAAATATATTTCATGTCTTGGTCTGTTATGTTGTTTTTTTCTTAAAGATCTAAATGATAATAATGTGGACCTACTCAAAGTCTTCATCATCTGGAGAAGCACATTGTCACATAGTCATGGTAAATAGTTCAGTGCTCTGCATGTTTGTAGTCTTGTGCAATGTTACTTCTCACTTGAACATTCAGATCAGCACAAGTCTGATGGATTGGAATCCTCATGCCACATAAAGCCCCAGATTGGTAGTTTTAAATCGTAACATTAAAAAATAGCAAAAGCATTGTTTTCAAATGAAGGAAATTGGTGTTTTTTCTTACTATGCAAAACCTCAAACCAGTGATTACAAAAGCAGATGACCACGTACAGATTCTGGCAGGAAATTCCAGATTTGAAATATGTTGAAAACAATCTAGAATTGTTTAAAGCCAACTTACAAGACTTTTTAACCTGGATGCAGGATTAGAGTAAGCCTGAACACATGACCTATGTGGCTTGAGCAGCATTGAATTAAGAAAACCGAAATACCTACATCAGAATTCAGATACAGCGGAGTTTCAGTGTGCGATTTGTCGTCTGTGGATTACACTTTTTTTCTTGGTTTCTCTTTTAAGATGTCTTTTTGTGACTTTGTGCTGTTTCTGTGCTATGCTAAAATCTACCTTGTAACTTTTATCATCAATTTTGGAAAGAATTGGTCTGGTATGAAATGTTGGTGGCCCTGCCTGTGATGGGGAAGTTGGAGATTTCATGATCTTTGAGGTCCCTTCCAACCCTGGCCATTCTGTGATTCTTTTTTTGGGGCTTGCGGATGTACAGTGCAGAATTTGAGGTAAAGCCCAAATTTGTTGGAAATGTTCTGACAGCTCTGCCAGCTGTGCAAGGAAATAACCTAAATGCTTATGCATTCAGGAGATTTTTTTCATCTGACTGCACCACTTTATTACTTGTAAGATTGTTTAACCTTTCATCAGAAAAAAAAGTATGTTCCATACTTTTCTAAATCTCATACCATTACTTGATTCATTTTTGTAAGACAATTTTTTGTTCGCTAATGGATACTTCCTTATAATAATGGATTTGACATTTGTCATTCCTGCGTTCTAGCTTGTTGCAGTCTCGATTTTTATTCACTATAAACATTTTGCTTTATTGAAGATTGAAGATTTGGCTTTGAAAATGGCGAGGCCGGACTCTTTTCAGTGGTGAGTGGAGACAGGACAAGGGGAAACGGCTGGAAACTGCAGCATAGGAAGTTCCACACAAATGTGCGCAAGAACTTCTTTACAGTGAGGTGACGGAGCACTGGAACAGGCTGCCCAGGGAGGTGGTGGAGTCTCCATCTCTGGAGATGTTCAAGACCTGCCTGGATGCCTACCTGTGCGACCTGCTGTAGGGAACCTGCTTTGGCAGGGGGGCTGGACTCGATGATCTCTGGAGGTCCCTTCCAACCCCTACAATTCTGTGATTCTGTAATTGCATAAAATACTTATATAAGGTGGCTAAAGCTTAATAACAAGGGAAACTTCTCTGCATGCAAAGGGAAAGTACCTACAGCAACTGAGTGATTCTGCGGTCAGTTGGTGTAGGAGTGCTGTACTACTGAGCTGAATTTTATAGGTATGAAATTTGAACAATTTCTTGTGTTCAAGCTGTCCCACTAAGGCAGTCTTCAGAATTCTGTGTTGGCTTACACAGTGAGCATGGAATTGTAGGGGTTGGAAGGGGCCTCTAGAGGTCATCCAGTCCAACCCTCTACTTAAGCAGTTCCCCGAAGTGGGTTGCACATGGAGGTGTCCGCATGGGCTCTGGAAGATTTTTGTCCAGGTAATGGACATGTGCATCTCTAATACTCCTGCCATTTGCTGTTCTAGCAGAGTGTTTTCATGTTCAAAAGAATCATGGTTTTACTGCTACTTGCCTTTTGAATAAATTGACTTCCTGTGATGTTGGCCAGTACTTGAAATAGACTGAGGGAGTAGTTGTGCATTTATGAACTGAGATTTAAGGTTGGGTGATGCAGGTTCAGTTGGTTACACGTGTACTGGTTTGAGGATATATGCAAAGTTTCTAGTTGGCTGTGCAGAAGGATCCACAATATTTAGCTGCCTTAATTGTTCAGTGTCAGTATACTTTTGCATCCTGGTAGTTCTGTGTGTGGGTGTATGGACTTGAACTCTAGCAGCTGGAAGTGATGACTGCCTTGGACTGGTAAGGAAGCTTCTCTCTAGGTAGCATTGTTTCTGCAAGATGGAAACAAACATGTCTCAGGTCTTACTATTGAGGTTCTGTATCCTTGGATAACAGTAGATAAATTGCATCACTTGCCTTGTGTTTGATGCTATTTTCAGTGTTCAGGGGCAGCTGGAAGTGACAGAATGTTTAGATTGTTGATCTAAAAGTGCAGAGTTACAGATAGTGATGGCACCTACCCATTTGGTGTTTGCTAACACTTTTATTTATAAACTACTAGTTGCATCTTCATGTTTAACATTATTCACAGCATGAATATACATCACAGAAAGTTTTGGTCCAAAGAAGTTTGTATAAAAGTGCATATCAGTTCTCACAGACTAGTATCTCTTTTCAAGTCACACAGTTTGTGTGGTTATTCCAAGGCACAGGAAAGGCATAACGTTTTCTTGGTACAGAAAGTGGAGAAAAGTGATTTCAGCAGAAGCAGGCATCATAGCTTGTTTTCCTGTGCATACAGTTACCTTCTGTTTTCAGCTGAGGTGTTCGGTGTGTATAACTGGAGTGACTCACATAGTGCTTTTCTGCAGTTGCCTGTTTACACGGTCCTCTGTAGAATGCACAGTCATGAATCCTGTTGAAAGTGGGCTTGAGCCCCCTTATTAAAGTGACACACAGATGCGCCGGATTCTCTTTGCCTTGAAACGTTTTCTTCTTTTTCTTTTGTGAAAAACAATAATAGTTAAAAGCAAGATCAGAGTGGAGAAAAGACAGCAGGCGAAGAATATTAATGGCTTCTTCTGAGAAACAAACAAACAGAAGCTACACTGCTTGTCGTTGGATGGATCGCAGACAGAGTAGTCGGCAGGAAAGCCGTTATTGCTTATCAGGTTATTGTAAAATTTTATTGAAGGCTTGCCTTTTGAGTCAGAAGTGAAGAATCCAAATCTGGGCTTAGATTTTTCCTCGGTCAATTTAAATGCGTAGTAGCCTCTAATCTTGACTTTGTCAATGTAGTATGCTGGGAGGAAAAAAATAGAGGGTTGTTAATATCGTTAATAACATTTTGTGTAACTTGCAGACTTTCTAGTAATGAGTTAAGTTTTCAAATGGTTATTCATTTAAAGACTATAATGACATCATAAAATATGTCCCTGCAGGACTTTGGAGAGCAGATGGTTAGCTGGGTCCTGAGAGTGGTGCTGATGAAATTCCTGCCTTATTCCAGACCCAGCTGCTCAGCCCTTTGTCATACATGATTGTTACCCTGCTGCATGCAAGTGCTGGGCGAAAAATACTTGAATGAAATAATAATAGTCCTTGGTGACTAGACATCTCTCACTCATATGTAAGTATAAAGTGTAGCTGAGGATGTGAGCCAGACTCAGCAAAAGCTTTCTAAACTACGGAGATATTTCCATGAATAGTCTGAGGTATCACGCTATCTGAAAATTGAATTTGGAGCACTGTGATGGTTGCCCCTTAAATGACCTTTTCCTTTGGGTAGCAGCAGAATTAATTATTGTCCCCTTGTTTGTAATGTGAAATTGGCATGAAAAGTAAACCAGCAAATGTTTATCAATTCTGTAGTAATTGGGAGAGAGCTAAGCACTGGAGGAGAAATGCTCTGCTTATTGTTAGTGTCCAGAAGCAGTCTGAAACTATGGCTAGCTGTGAGTAAGACCTGCCTCATTTTCACATGTTTAGCTTCTGGGGAGTCAGGATGTGCAGCCTGTGTTAGGGGACAGGTGCCCCGGAGGAGCTTTTGGATATCCTGTGGCCTGGCCAGGGAAGTCTCCGGAGTCTGTCAGTAGGAAATAGTGTAGGGATGTATTGCGCATCCTTGGCTGTATGGTTCAGGTACCAGTGCCTTTCAGGGACCTTTCTGTAACTGCCTCTGTCTCAGCTTAACAACACAGCATTGCTGCACTTCTCATGAAATATTATCTCCTGCAGACTTCGGAGTAGCTAGCATTGGGTAAAGCTTGGGTCCTGGATCTGTGCCATGAAAACAGCTCTGAGGAATCTGTCATAGGCTCACCTTTTAAAACCTCTTGTATGTATTTTTCTAAGTAGTAGTTCCGAAGCTCATCGTTGTCCAAGGACTGGTCATCTATTCCGTTTGCTGTGATGTAGATGTCTATGTCACCGTAGGTTCTTTTAATCCACTTCAGAACCTTGCGCACTCCCCAGGGCACCACTGCCAGCCGGGAAGGGGAGCTCAGGCAGGTGATGTCCTGCAGGAACTGGATGTCACGGTCAAACTCGTACTGGCTCCCGTTCTGGGGCTCGTGAATCACAAATCGTGTGGTGAAGTGATTCAGCGCGTAGAAGTCAGCTGCACCTTTAATGAGCTTCCTTTCCTCACTTGTGAAAGACGGCAGTAAAGAGTGGGAGAGGCCTTTTCTGTTTTTAAAGTGGATGTATTCCCTCATTGTAGCTGGATAGTCTCCGGTCTTAAATATGGGGTCGGCAAACCAGCCTATTTCAAACTGAAGGAACCTGTTGGCAGCTTTGGCGTGGGACTCAAAGTAGGGGTTGGCAGGCTCTGCCCAATCTGAGTGCAGGGACAGGGACACTTTGCCATGCTGGAAGGACCGGTACTGCTCATCGTATGTTCTCCAGGCCATGGCGTGCGCTATTAGCAAATTGTGCGCTGCCCGGTATGTATCGCTGCTGCTCCTGTTGTAGACATCACTGAGTCGGTTAGGCTCATTTATTGTAATCCAAAGTTTAACCAAATCACCAAGTTCCTGAAAGCATAAAGCCGCGTAGTCTTGAAAAGCATAGGCTGTAGACTGGTTGAGCCACCCTCCTGTCTGCAGC